ATTTGTTTCCCATTTCTACCGTTAATTTCTATATATATAAAAAAAAATCATGTTTCGTACGTACAGAATTGTATAGTAGAATGCACATAAACTCCTAACATAATACACATAATCTAACATAATACATAATACACATAAACTCTTAACATAATACATATAAGCACAAGTGTTTAAAAAAAAAAAAAAAAAAAAAAACTGTAACGGGATTGGACGGACGGAATGGTGTCCGTCGCGTCAACTCCTCACCAACTTATAGAAACGTCGTCGTTTTGGACCAGAGCGCACTGGGATTGACCGCGATTCCGATTTGAAACTGCCAGTTTTAACCGTGAGTTTTTTTTTTTTTTTTTAATTAAAAAGTTTTGTTTTATTTTATGTTTGGCGCAAGGGCAAGTGGCCAGGCGCGTCTGTGGCGTGCCAAACTGCCAATGGCAGTTTGGCTTTTGAAAAAATGAAACTTCAAATTTTGTTTTTTAATAATAATTCTCACTGTTTTGACCGGAATCGTCCGGTTCCGAGCCGGAACCGGCGGTTCCGGTTCTTTTATTACACAAATCTTAACTGGAACCAATAGGTTCCGGTTCTTCTATTACACAAACCTTAACCGGAACTAATAGGTTCCGGTTAGGAACCAGAACTGGAATCGTACGGACAGTTCAGTTTCGGTTCCGGTTCCGGTTGTACAGTGTATGATTTCGGTTCGAACCGTGGTCACTTCTAGGCGCACAACGCATTGTGTGTCCTGGCCATATAAATTGTGAACACTCAATAGTATGTAAATTGTGTATTTTAAACTCGGACTCACTTTGCAAGGTGGACCCTGGTTCATGGTATAACAACTACTTAGTAATGGCAATCGTTATACCCTGTACCACGACGCAACTGTAGGGAGTTGACATGATTATGTGTATTTTTTTTTATATAATTATGTGTATTTGTTTATGCAATTATGTACATTTTTTTAATACAATTATGTACATCCGAAACAGGAAATTTATGTGTATTATGTTAAGAGTTTATGTTTATTATGTTAAGAGTTTATGTGTATTATGTATTATGTTAGATTATGGGAATTATCTTTAAAAAAAAAAGTATGTGTATTTTGTTATACAATTATGTACATTCATTTATACAATTATGTGTATTCTAGTATAAAACTATGTACATTTTTGAACATAAAAAATTTTTTTTTAAAAGAAAATTAACCGCCAACACAAGGTATCAAAATTTTTAAAAAATAAAATCTGAAACGACGTCGTTTTGCATCAGGGCGCACAATGCAATGCGCGCCCTGGTGCACGATATAAATTGCCTAGTAATGGGCTCTTTGAGATAACATTTAGTGGGCTCTGGAGTCCGAGCATAAATATAGAAGTTTGTTCTGGTATCCGCAAATTATGTCCTGGATACGTGTTCACCATGAATGGTGAACATGGGTCCAAACGGCGCTGTTTTTACGTTAAAAAAAAAATAAAAATTCGCGGATGTGGTGTTAACGGCGCGCGTTTGGTCAGATTATGAATTTTCTGTTATGAGATTATGAATGTACTATAAATTCATCATCTCATAACAGAAAATTCATAATCGTATAAAAGAAAAATATTTATTAAATTATGAATTTTCTGTTATGAGATTATAAATTTACTTTAAATTCATAATCTCATAACAGAAAATTCATAATCTCATAACAGAAAATTCATAATTTCATAACAGAAAACTCATAATTTATGAATGTTGAAGAAGCTTGCGCTACAGAGGAGCAGCCATGGTTTCGGACGGAAATGTGTAGGCATGGTTCCAAAGTGAATGTCCAGGCATGGATTCATAATTTATGAATGTCCGAAATCATTACTCACCTCAAATTAAAGTGAAACCGCGAAATGTAAAAATGAAGAAGAAAAGTCACGCAATTAATTAAAAAAAAAAAAAAAAAAAAAAAGAAGATAACGGTGCACTAACACCGTTGGGACCGTGTTCACCATCCATGGTGAACACGGTTCCATGGCATAACGATTGTCTGGTATCCAAACAGGCCCTTTTATGGTCAAAAAGTTTGTGTTATCATTTTCTTTGGTACAATTACATATTTTGTGACGCCCCAAAGGCCCAAGCTACTTTACTTTTGAGCCTCCAACTCACAACGATGCAAACCCACATTCCAACATGACTTAAACCATAAATAGGCTTGGTATACTTTGGTTCTCCATGAACTACCCATTGTCTTTTGATACATATACATGAAGAATCAATCAGTAGACTAGGGTGCAAACGAATGAGTGACACTTAAATTTAAGTAGATTCAAGTTCGAGTTTAAGAATTTGGACTTGTATTAGGCTTGCTAATTTTTATAAGGCTTGAGCTCAAATTGATTGGCTCGAGTTCAAACTATATAGCTTGACAAGTCACATGTCAAAAGTATAAACTCAAGATTTGGTTGATTACTTAATGAGTTAGGTCAATCTCGACTCGAGTTTGAATTTAACTCAACTCGTTTCTACTCCTATTGTATTCTAAATTTTCTATGAAAAATCTCAATTTTGTGCCACTGAATTACAATGCCTTGTGCTAAGATATTGTTGATATTGAGAATACTAGTTATACGAATGTTTTATGTGTGAAGTGTCATGCCCAACAACGTAACTAGATTATTATTAAGTACACCTCCAATAATTTTTGTTGTTGTTTTTGTTTTTGTTTTTTTTTTTTTGTTTTTTGTTTTTTGTTTTTTTTTTTAATACAAGGTCAATATTAACAAACATTTCATAGTAGCCCGGTACTAGTTTGAAGGCAAAACACAAACAAAAATATAAAATGTAAGTTACATAACAAACTAAAATATTGAACTATAGTACACATTGGGTTATAATTTGTTGATAGCTCATTTACAAATAGTTGTTACTGAAATGGTTCTTTGACTATAGTAAAATTACCAATTTAATCCCGAGTAAACGGACGTTGACGGCTAAACAAATGGAGGACCAAATTAGTTATTTCACTATAATTAAAGGACCATTTCCGTAATTAACACTATATTTTATGTATGCATGTATAGTCTAATTTAAAAAAAAAAACAAATTAATTTCAATTCTTTAATTTATGAAAAAAACTCACAATCACTATTTAAATGTGTACTTAGTGTGAAATCCGTGTTATAACTCTAGTTTACGTAGAATTGCTTAGAGGTTATATAAGAATGTTGTAACATGCGGAAAAAGTGGCTGTTGTTAATTAATTATCAAAAGAGAGGTGTTTGGCTTTCTTTAAGGTAAATAAATCGCAAATTACTAAAAATTAAAGCTTCTTATACAATGTTGGAAAGCAAGCAAGGCAAATAGGCAATCCTTTCGGTGCGTCTTTAGAGAATGATCCCCATTTTAGCTTCTTCTTCTTTTTCTGAATAAAAAATAATACTTCATATCTCATTTTATCCGTCTTATTTACTATTTATTAGTCAAATCAACTCTTTCTTCTTAGTTTATTTTCTTTAGTATTCTTTAATTATTTTTAAATTTAATTTTTTGTGTTTAATAGTATTTTTAGTGTAGTTTCTAAATATATAAATTTTATAAACTAATATTAAACTTAATATTATGAAAAATTGGATTAAAAATAACTCCAATCAAGCCTCGTTAACCGAACCAAACACATAAACTGAGACGGATGGAGTAATTATTAATATGATGCGTGTGGATTTTGTTTTTACATTTTGAGGAGGAAATAGAGAATGAAATGTAAAATTTTCCATATAATATAATATATATTATATATTATGGGCCTTAATTATATAGTGCAAGTAGACTGGACATCTAGGTTTAGTTCGTATTTCTCTATTATGTCTGTATTGATGGGATACATGATATTTAATATATAACATCTAAAGTTATGGTACTCATCATACTGCTCAGAAAATACCAATACAGCATATAGAATTCTGAGTTAAGTATAAGACAGAACAAGTTATTCTTGCAGGTCTACCGTTTAAGAGGCAACACAACAAGATATCAACTATGGCTCGAGATCAACACGAGTTCTACTTCCGTCATGAGGTTGTACTATATTTAGATCTAACATGAAAAGCAAGATTATATAAATTTTAATCAAGGCTAGCTAAAATATTCATCAAATAGTTCTATAAGATAGAGACAGTAACAGATCTGGTGCTTAACCAGCCGATTTGAATAACAGAATAAGTCATTAGTGTTCTCCCATGAACATATATATTTGATACGGAGTAATATACGAACTTTGATTATAATTGCTAATGAATTAATTAATACAAATTACAATCTACTATACACACACACTAATAATAATCTCTTTTTTACGTAGCATGGTTTCAACCAATATCTTATAATTGCATTATATTGCTAAAAATAATTTATCAATTTCTGATTAAGTTTTCAACCATTGAAAAAAAAAAAGAAATGGAAATTAAAGTATTTTGAGCTTTTTCTGACCAACGTTAATGGTAATCTAACTATAATCACTGGTGAATGAAATTTATGAAAATATATCTTAAAATCTAGCATATTATTAAATCTTTTGACAATTTTTATTGATGGCTGATATTACCTACAAGTGGTTAATCTCAAATTGGCTATATATGAGTTGTCATAAAGAATATTGTTTAAAGTATACAGTTGTTCTTCTCTATCCCTCCTCTCGTTCCTTCAAAACTAGGGCATCTTTTTACCTACGTGGCACTTTCTGATAATTTTTTTTTGTAATTATTTAAAAAAAGGTGAAATTTAGTCTTACTGCCAGTATAAATTTCTGCAATTCTACTGCATTATGACTGCTTTCTGGTTCTGTAAATGTCTGGGAAAGGAAAGGGCAAATCTGTCAACCGATCAAAGATCGAAAACTTGTTCACAAAAGGAAAATTTTTCTCGCCCCAAAACCGAATAGAATAATAGAGAAATAATAGAAAAATAAATCACTGTGCCAAAAGACATAAAGATCCAAAACTTGGTAAAAGGAATCCTCCACATAGTGCCAATTGTCAAGAAAGCTCACAAAAATCCAATCTTCAATTTTATCAAATAGTACTTTAGTACATACCAAAAAAAAAAAACAAAAAAAAAAAATTACAAACTCTGTTTTCCATTAAGCCCTACCTTTTTACCCCTCTCTCTACATATAGTTATATAGAACAGGAAATTAAACTTTTTACCATTAGAACTAAAGTACTAAACCTAGTCTTAAATTTAACTCAAAGGGTAACTCAAGTACCAAAGTAATTGCTTTGTGAGGACAATTCTAGAGATGATCTGGATTCGATACTCTAAGTGACAATTTCTCTTGGGCTAGTTCATGTCTTTTGGAGTACGTTAACTGGAACTAGACTCGAACAGTAAACCGAATGGAAAAAGACCCAGAACATCTCGTGGTTTATATCAAAAACAAAAACCTAGTCTTAAATCTTAATTAATCAAATTAATTATTAATCCCATGATTAAACGTTAATTAAGCTTGGGAATGTTAGAACTTGAGAGTGATATCACTTCCATTACTCACTTCCCCATCTTCCCTTAACGCCGCCAGTGCTCTTCCCTCTCCGCCGCTATCCGCTCTCCAGCTGCCGCTCTCCGATTTTCCGTCCTCAATGCTCTCCGACCGGTCGCCGGTGCCCCGGCCGTCGGACTCTGGGGAGGTTTGGGCGTGTGGCGGTGGCTTATACATGTGGAACTGGTGGTGGAGGGGGTGGCCGGCATGGTGGTGGAGAGGGAGGTGTTGAGGTGGCGGGGGTGTCGGCGCGGCGTAGAACTCGTGACCCACCGAGAAGTGCTGGGGAGCTGGGTGATGAGCGTGGGTAGTGGTCGGATGTGCGCCGTAGAGCGTGGCGGCTGCTGCTGCTGCTGCACCACCGTGCGCGGCGGCGGCTGCGGTTGCGTACTCCGGCGGGACCCATATGCCACCTAGAACCACCAGCTGCGGCGCTGCCGCGGCAGCCGCTTGTGGGGTAGGCCCTGGCCTTCTTGTGTGCAGCCTGTATTTCTGTAAGTGTACATACAAAACAGAAAAGCAGTAGTAGTCAAAATGCATGCCTTCCCATTTGTACCTCCTAAAATATATGCACAGTACAGTCCCAAAATTTTGTACTTCAAAACTACAAATTTGTGAGTAATTAGTTGGCAAACCAATAACTGTTTTACATTTTTTTTTTTTGGGTTACACTTAGGAGAGAAATTCGTTTCCACTATTTTATAACTTTGTAACCCCAATCAAGAAAGGACTAAGGACAGGAGGCAAATTAACTTATGTTGCCCATATAGCTCATTAGCTCAAATCAAGAAGGTAAAAAATTAAACGCTCCTAAAAGGTTGAATCTCTAACTCTCGGTCCGACAGAGCATGCAGACAAGGCCAAATGTCGGTGTGCACAAGGGATCTGTCCACTTTGGATATAATCCCACAGTGACGCGCTGCTAAAGTTTGAACCTGGATATGTTAAATACTGTCTACTAAACCAGTGAGTTAAGTCCGTGCGGGCTATATAAGTATAATCTTGTATGTCATTTAAGTTGTATAGATACTGTTTAATACTATGTATCAAATACAATCAGATTTATTATATATGATTATACTTAGAACAAAAGGCACATCTATTGATTAGACGATTAGTATCTTAAAAATTCCATATAATTTATATAGAACAGTAAAAAATGGTTGAAATTATCTTTTTGTACTGGGTGTATATGTACCTGTAGATGGCTTTTAACTTCATCATTGGTCAAACCATCAACCTTCATGAGTTCTCTGATTTGTTTTGGCGTTGCAACTGTAATCATTGCCAGGAAAAGATTTAGCTAGATAGCCTAATGATTAATAAATTATTAATAATCATAATATTAATGATGATGATAATGATGAGAGTATTTTCTTGTTAAAATCCAAATTAATTTAAAGATTAAAAAACAAATTAGAATCTAAAAATAAATTTAATTAATTACCTTGAGAACCTCCCAACATTTGAAGAGCATTAACAAAGCGTCTGTGCAAGTCCGGCGACCAGCATCTTCTAGCCTTTCTATGAGGTTGTGTGGCGGTTGCGGCCGCCGTCTGAGAATCCTGCGGCGGCGGAAGAGTAGCGCCACCGCCGCCGCCGCCACCACAGTCACCGGATTTTCCTAGCTCAGTTGTTGCAGGTCCATTATTACTGCACTTGCCAAGATTCACATTAATCTCCAAACTCTTCTTCTCTTCCAATTCTTTGCCGTCCGGGGAAGCTAGGGCCAGCGTCGGGCTAGGGCAAGAACCGCTCCGATGATCTTTCGAAAACGGAAGAAAAGCTCCGCCATTATTGTTCATCTGCGGATTTGGGCTGACAGAAAACCCTATCTCAGTTTCCTTACTGGGAATCTTTTGCTGCATGGAAGATTCATTATTATTATTATTATTATTTCCTTGGCTCCATAGCTGGGCGGTGGTCATCCAATTCGCCTTGTCCCCGGTGGCGTTAGCCGCCGCCTTCTGATCCGTCGTCCCTTCCAGCGAGCTGGAATTCTTGAGAGGAATGAATTCTTCAAGAACAGGCCTCGCCGCCCCATGGTTATTATTGTTTGCCCTGAATGATTGTAGCTGTTGCTTTGAAGCCTCCATGGCTGCAGAAAATCAAGATTAATGCTTTAACAAAGCATCTAAAGTTGTGCATACATGAAAAAGCCATGCATATATAACTTGTATTAATATAGTTAATTAACATAAAAATAAAGCAAAAGGGATATGATGGTTATTAAAGCACCAAACTATACTACCCAGGCACAATTTTCAAAAACAACAGGGAAAATGAATATCCCAAATCTTAGCATTTGCCTAACTTATACTTCGATTATTCCAATAATTAAATTCTTGGTTGCTAATCCCCACTTTGAACTAAGTGGGGCACTTCCTTAAATTCATCATACTACTATTCTAACGTTACACATACCCGAAATTCATTACCCAACCTCGTGGTCTAGTCTAGTCTACTAATATAAGTATGAAACTTTTTATAAGAAGTTCCGGAGAGAAATTACCATTGGTGAGGAGTTGCATGCAAAGGGGGAGTTCGCGTTTAAACGCATCGATCTTGAGGCGTTCTTCTTCGAGGCGAGAGAGAAAGTCTTCAAGCTTTTGCAGGGTTTGATCGTTTTGGTGATGGGGATGAAGATGATGATCTCCAAAGGACTTGAGAAGCATGGAGTAGGTGTGGGGTTTGCAGTCAAGGGTTAGCTCCGAGGGCGATGCCATCATATGTATGACAAGCTGATTGATGATCTTTTCAAGAATATTGTTGTTGTCTTATAGGTTTGATCGATTTTACTACATAAAAACTATCTCTTCAGCTAGATTCAAGAAATGTTAGTAATGCTCAAACAACAAGCAAGCTAGCGGGGAGAGAATTAGGGATGTGGATGAGAACACACAAGTGGTGGGGTGGGAGAGAGAGAGAGAGAGAGAGAAAGGGGAGATGTGTTGTTTGTGAACACAAGGAGGATCGAGTGGGGGGAGAGTCCTCTTTTTAGAGGGTTGTGTTGGAGGGAGAGAATAAAGTAGGGTTCTAGAGAGGAGAGAGAGAAGAGGATAGAAAGAGAAAAGAAAAATTAAAACCAAAGGTAAGAAAAAGAAAGGAAGAGAGCGGATGGTGTAAATTCTTGCAAGTTACAAACAAAGAGCAAAGGCAAAAGGACAATGCCAAGTCCTTTTTTTAATCTATATATATATATATTCACACACAAACATTTTTTACGCCACAATGTTTGTATTTAAATAAAATTATATAGGTGAAGTCTATTATTATTGACATTGAAATTAATGTTTGCACTCTTTTAAAAATAATTATCTAAATACTTATTATATATAGTTTGTATGATATTATGTTGTAGATAGTACTTTTGATTAAAATTACTTTAAGTTTTGTTAATTCGCTTTTGAATAAGTTTGACATTGTCTTTGTCTTTATTGTTATATGCTTTTTATGTGCAATTGAGTTACTTCTGCTAGTTTACAAAAAAAAAAAAAAAAACAGATTTGAATCTAAAATAGCTCAACATTATTATTATTATTATTATTATTATTATTATTATTATTATTATTATTATTATTATTATTATTATTATTTTTGGGTAATTGTTGTTTCAATTTCATATATAATTATATTGGATTTAAATGTAATGACTTTGTTGTATGAGTTGCAAACATGAATAGCGTCAGAAGAATGGGTATGCATTACTTGCACAAATTGAATCGAGTTATTTACAAAAATGTCACTGCATTTTTTTTAAGTTACATCTGATCCATTAGATTTGGACAGATGGACAACTGTGATTGGTTCTCATTCCTCTCCTAAGCTCATGGTTTCACCTGACTGCATATATATATATATATATATATATATATATATATATATATATATATATATATATATATATATATATATATATATATATATATATAGGGAAGGGTTCAGGTGCGGTAAAAGCTTCCCGTGCAGTTGGACGCATCTTCAATATTAATATGGCACATCTTAGGTATACAAATCACCACGCACATTAAGCACACAAACAAAGCACCTTAAGAACACAAATCACAAACTCACGCACATTAAGCATAAAATTCACGCACATTAAGCACAAACCTCACGCACATTAAGCATTAAACTGACGCACTTTAAGTATTAACTTACACACCTTAAGTTCCAACAACTACTGACATTAATCGCTAACCCCACGCACATTAAGCACACACCCCACGCAAATTAAGTCCAAACCCAAACACCTCAAATTTACCGAGATGCAAAAATTATCAAAATGCCACCGCGTTTTTTAATTTAATTTTGATAATCTTGGACGTTGATTTAAACGAGATGAATGACTCAGATTAAACCGCACCTGAGGTGCCCACCCGCACGGGAACCCAGTTCTATATATATATATATATATATATATATATATATATATATATATATATATATATATATATTGAAATGGCTCCATTCCCTTGCAATTGGATAATGGGTAAGATTGGAGGAGGAATGGGAATCTGTTGGTGTCTGACATGCACCTGAGGGGAGGGGTGATATGGTGAGGGAAAAATTAAGAGTGTGATATTGGAACCTTAGGGACTGGGATAGTCTTTGTACGAATTCAAATCACTCACACAAAAGATGATTCTTCTTCTCCCTCTTCCAACCCTGCCTTTTCCTTCCTTTCTTTTTTTACCCTTTACTCTTTTCGTTGTCCACATTCACTTGCATATATGCAAATAAACATCCACTTTTCATGTAGTTCACAATTTTGATTCCAAAGCCTATAAATGCTCATTAATGTTACCATAATATCTAGTACAAACTCAATGTCTTTTCAAAATTTTAAGGCTTTGCACATGGAACAAGAGGCACAGTGTTAATCAGCACTATTGTCTCTCACTAGTAAAAAACAACTTTCTGCATCTGTTATACAATAGACGCAGATTGTCAATACAATATGTGTTTATTGTGGAAAGGACGCAGATTGTGTGCACTTTCCGCGTCTGTTCCAGTCAAGCTACGACCATTAGCTACTATGGTCGAAACCAGTAACAGAAATACAAGAAGACTATGAAGACAATGGGCCAGACATAATTCATTCAGGTTGCTTTCCAACTTATTTCCTAGACCCTAAAAAGTGAGGATGCTCATTCCGCTGTTGCAACTCCCTAGCCTTTTGACGTTTGACCTAAATTAAAATTTATCATTAAATAATAACATGTTAATTTTTTTGAAAGTAATAACATATTAATATTAATAAAGCATTAAGACTAATAAAACATGATTATCAAGCAATCGAATTACATAGTGTACCATGAACTCGTCAACGATTTGCTTCAAATTTCTCTCATTGTTCTTCATTCAACTAGTCATATAATTCTGAGAGATTTATATAATTATATATTTTGTGCTTTTTGTTGATGAAATCACGCACCAATATTGTTTTGAAGTCTTTCCAACGCATCACCGCAATCCTCAAAATCACTTGTTTTTTTTTAATCATCTGCGATATTAAACTCTTTTTGAATAACAACAATACAATAACAAATAATTAGACCTTACTTTAACCCAATAGGATAGCTCAAGTGGCAAATGAGCTCTCTTTATGGGGGAGAATTTTGGGATAACTCGGGTTTGATTCCCATAAGTGACAATTGCTATTGAGCCAGCTCATGTGCCTCTCGAATCGAACCATCAAAGTCAATTGTGATGTGTTCATCATTTCCTTCTTCTTTTTCATTTTTTTTTTTTTTGCATGTCGTAGGTCCTCAGGTCCTCTTGCTTTAGACAGTGAGATAGACTATGATGTAGGCTCTAACATAGGCTCTATAGGACCTGCCAAATGATCTGTTTGATCGACTAGGCCTGTGCCGCGGACGGTTTGGATGGTGGGGAGGGAAATCTGACGGATTTTGGATTTTAGTTTTGAATCCCCAATCCGTTTTATTTTGTTGATTTATCCGTTCAGTTATAACATTGTTCGGATCGGATCGGATAGTTTGGATATCCTTTTGTTTTTCCGTTTTAAACAAATGTAAAAATCAATTCAAAAATCAGTTCAAAAATCAACATCAAAAGGTCATTAATAGAAAAAGTTAAATAGCTAACAATTTAGTATCTAACTGAATAAATAACTGATAGTGTAATAGACTAATACTGTAATACTAACTTAGTAATTAGTATTACTAAGTAGTCTATTAACTAACACCAATAGTTAAGTGTCTAATACTCTAACAAAAGTAAATTAAGTTGTTACAGATTTAAGACCAAAAGGATCAAAACTCTACACAAGTGTTAAGTGTAAAGGAAGTAACTTCTCAAATTTACAAAATACACAACTACTGAACTGAAGCACCAAAATCAGCAAAATCAGCAAAAATCAGCAAGTGTCAACTCTTAGATTTTTAGACAATTAGACCTACTCTTCTTCCTGTGAATTATGACAAGTTAGTGAAAATAATTAGTACACAAGCAAGCATTAGAATTCTAAAAAAAATGAAACACTTAGAAGGGATTATATCAATTTTGGCTCAGTAAGCATTTTTTCCATATCAATTTGGATTAAGGGCAAATTGCTTCAATATAACTTAAGTATAGAGCAACTCACCAACTTAATCCTTTTCGGATTAAAGGCGGAAGCTTCATCATTGCCAACTTAAAGGGAACAAACATAATAAAATAGTTCATACATTACCAACCAAATGCCCAAGGGACTTGAGGCAGCAACTTAGTAAAAATTACCAAGAAATAGATGAATGATCAAGCTAGTAACTAATAACATTAGTCATAGTGGGCTCAAAAAATACCAATTCCCCACTGTAAAAGATTGCAATAAAATCATACAGAACTACATAAGTAAATCAAGGTTATCAAGTAATATAAAGAATAACATTACAGGAATCGTAGCAAGTGTAGAACCAAGAGGCCTCCCACTTCCACCATCACCACTTAACTCTGCAAAATAAACAAAAGTTAAAAGTATTAACAATTTAACATATAAGTATAAAACAGTAAAAACAGTAAAACACTAAAGACCTAAAGACTAAAGTTATACCTTTTTCAAACCTCTCCAACAATGCTTCCACAATTTTTTTTGGAGTTAATGAACTCCTAAAAGGATCCAATACTCTCCCAGATGTACTGAAGGCAGATTATGATGCAACAGTTAAGATTGGAATGGCTAGGACATCCCTAACAAGCTTAGACAGAACTGGAAACCTAGCAGAGTGAATCTTCCACCATCCAAGTATATCAAAAGATTCTTCCTCTTCAGCTATTGCCTCACTCAAGTACATATCCAACTCAAGTTTGTTTCTTACCCCCAGACTCCAATTTTTGTTTTTTAATTGAGACTTGAGTAAATGTTGTGGCCTCCCAACTGAAGCAGAAGAGGCAGATGAAGACTGAACAGAAACAGGAACAGAAGGGACAGAACTCACACTAGTAGGGTTAAAATTGACAGAATAATCATCAAATAACTCAGTCAGAGCATCAAACACTTTCACATAATATGGTTTACTCTTTTCCTCACCATACATATGATTAAGCTGAGTAAGCATATACTCTAACTTGTCCCTAGGGTCTAGAATGTTTGCAAAAAAAAAAAAAAAAAATTAAAAAAAATCATTAGATTCATTTTATCAACATCACCCCAATACTTCTCAAATTTTGCCATCATATTTTTCCCCATATCACCCACTGCCCCACTAGCTTCCACCATGTCCTTCAATGGACAGTACAGATAAGAAATCTTAGTAAAGAATGTGTTTGAGGTGACATATAACGAACTAGAAATTCTAATGGTCATGCCATAAAAACACTTCAATAACTTGATCAAACTGCCAACCGATTCTCAGTCCATAAAATCGGGAATAGAATTACCCAAGTCACACTTGAAAGAACAATCAGATTCCAAAGATTCAAACACTTTCTGGTAAGTTAATGCAGATTGCAACATCAAATAGGTAGAGTTCCT